AACGGTATAGGACGCCCAAATGTGGCAGCGACTTACCTCCTAGCAGCCAGCCCGCCAGCCGGCGTGACCCCGGGCGGGCTCTCAGAAGTGATGCGATCGGGCGACCAGTTACGGTTGTCGGCGTGTCCTTGGCTGAACACCCCCACAGTGTTCGGTTGGGCGACCAGGCCACACGGGCGGTGCGTCCTCGACTGCGTGCCTTTCTGGGACCCAGCCGGGCGACCAGGCTTTGCGGATAGGGTGCCATTGACTAGGGCCAGGCACCCAGGAAGGCGCCCCCGCGTAGTCGGGGACCATTCCTGACCGGGTGCACACCCAGAGACACGTATTAGCGGATCCTGCGGAAGCAATCTTTGCTCCTTAGGCAGTTTCCTTAGTTAATTCAGACGGTAAAGGAAGTTAGTTAGCGGTTGCATCAGCCCTTACATCAGCCCCACCTCTTTGACTCGGCTGAAACGCCAGCCTTACTTACCATGTATAAACCCCACATCTATGTATAAATATCCCCCGGGATCATCATGTAAGGGATCGGCATTTTTAGGGCAAAAACCCTAGAGAAATAATACTACGTTATTCTCTCTCTCATTGAGATCTTGGTCCTTGTTTTCATCACCTCCAAAAATAACAATTATCCGGTAGTGTTGGCCTGCCGGGCAGCTATCGAGGCTGTCAAAAACCAACATTGGCGCCGTCCGTGGGGATCGAAACTAAAGGTCCCATTCCTAAGCTTTACCGATGGCACGTACCAGATGCAGCAATCGCAATACCCGTCCCAACACTGCTGCCCTGCCGGCAAACGGGTATGTGACAGTTATCGCGAACCCGCCAGAGCTGCCCACAGATAGCCGCATCCGTTGATGACCTGAGGGAGTAACTAAATTGCCACGCTTCTGGGGGGCAATCGGATGCACGTACTGCCGACCCATGAGCCGTCGAGGGGGAACCCGCTAGTACCTATCGCTCAGGCCCAGGCCAACTTCGTGGAGTTGTTGGCGCAAACCTTTGAAGCATACGTGCGGGGGCGAGGACCGGAGCTCCCGGGCGAGATCGAGAGGCCCGCGCGATCGGTTTCTGCGGAGGCCCAGCAAGGAGTATCCAGGCATTCGGAACACTCGGGGATCAACCCGCCGTCTGATCAGGGGGCTAATCGCTCAGCGCACTCTAGGCTCTGGCCCGTAACCTCGGTGAAGTCGGTCATGGAGAGCCTCGGTGGACGGGGCGAACAGCAACCGCCTGCCCGGTCAATCGATGAGCAGCCGCAGACAATCATTCAGAGGAGAGCGGCTTCCCGACAAAGGCGCGTAGCCGCAGAATGCATGGGAGAGTCATCCGCGCAACCCGACCAGAATAACACAGAAATGGCCGGCCTATTCGCTGCTTTGCAGGAGCTGCGACAGATAGTCGAAGGAAGAGATCGATTGGTTGCAGATAGCCTCTTGACTGCCTCGCCCTTCTCCGTACAAGTGCAAGCTTATAGGGCACCGACCAGATTCAATCTGTCCGATCATCCCACTTACGATGGCACAGGGGATCCGCGCGACCATGTCATCGGTTTCCAGGCCAAGATGCAGGTAATCGGGGCCAATGCTCCGATGATCTGTCGGGCATTCTTCCTCGGGCTCCCCCCGGGATCCATCAACACTTTCGAGGATTTAGCCACCCAGTTCCTGACACACTTCGCTGGAAGTATGAAGCCTAAGAGATCTATCTCGGATTTGGCCAGGATAAACCAGTACGAAGGGGAGAGCCTACGCAAGTATATTGCGCGTTCGCAGAAAGAAGCGCAGGTGGTGGATGGCCTGGACGATCAGATAGCCTTAACATTCTTCATCGAGTCCTTGAGAGCGGACGTGCACTATAGCTGGTTGCGGGACGAGAATACCAAAACATACACAGAGGCCATCTAGCAGGTCAATCAGCTGGCCAACACGGAGGAAGCGGTGAAACAGAAGCGCAGACAAGAAGTTTCCTCTAAAAAACCCCGGGCGGATAACCCTCATGAGGGGCGAGCGGCAGAGGAAGGCGTTACTCGTGTGAGAGCTCGTCGAATCATGGATCGACTAGGAGCTCCTGCCCCCCAGCCGATGGCACAGCCTGTCCACGAGGTTTGTGCCCGGTTGCCTCTGCCTCCCCCTATTCGTCCAGGTGATCGGCCCAAGTAGTCGGGGCAAGCCCCACCACCTTACTGCCGGTACCACTGCACAAGCACTCATTCTACGGAGGATTGTGAGGGATTAAAGGAAGAAATTGAAGTGCTCATTAAGCGTGGCCGGCCACGGCCCTACAACCTGTGGCCTAGGCCAGGCTCGGCCGGGCAGCAAGGGGTGATTGAGCAAAGCGGGGCGAAAACCGGCGACAAGGGTAATCAGCCCATGCGAGAGGATGACGGAGATCGGAATCGACAGCACAAGCCGGTGATAAACATGATAGTAGGTGGTCCCAAAGGAGGTGACTCTGCGAGAACCCGAAAGGCACGCGCCCGGCAGCTATACGTGGGTGCGATAGCCTTCCAGGAGCCAGACGGTAAGAAGATGTGCAGAGAACCGATTGTCTTTACGGACGACGACCTACCTAGAGGCCCTGCGTCGCATCGGGACGCCCTGTTTATCGCAATGGACATTCAGGGATCGGTCACCCGGTAGGTGCTGGTGGACACGGGTAGCAGTGTCAACGTGTTGTACTAGGAAGCCTTTCAGAAGTTGGGCTTGGTCTGGGAGCAGATGCGACCAGTCAGGACCCCCTTGGCCGGGTTCACCGGTGACGCGGTCGAGGCTAAAGGATGCGTCTCTTTGACCATCGAGCTGGGTACTTGGCCTCAGGTGAGAAGATTGGAAATGGATTTTGTCGTCGTTTCTCTGGAGTGCGTACACAACGTTATCCTCGGTCGACCTGGATAGAGGATCTGGGAGCCTTGATCTCCATCGAGCATCTGTGTATGAAGTTTCGCACACCAACTGGTGTCGAAGTGGTGCGGTGCGATCAGAAGACGGCTCGTAGTTGCTACATGTAGGCCTACTGAAAGGTTGGTTAGAGATGTAATCAGAAGAACACTATTGACCACCAAGTGTCTGGCCGACCAACAGAGCGCTTGACACCGGCAGTCGAGCTGGAGGAAATCATCCTAGAGACTGGGTATCCCAACAGAGTGGTCCGGATCGGGATTGGCCTGCCTACCTCTGTGAAGCAGGCGGTCACGACAGTCTTAAAGGAATATATGGAACTATTCGCATGGGGGCCTGAGGACATGCCAGGAGTCGATCGATCAATCATAACTCATAGGTTGATGGTCAACCCCAGCCTCAAGCCCGTGGCTCAGAAGAGGAGGCATCTGTCAAATGACCGTAGGGAATTTGTAAAGAAAGAATTGGATGCATGGCTAGCCGTAGGGCACATTCGGGAAGTTAAATACCCCGGCTAGCTGGCTAACGTGGTGTTGGTGCCCAAGCCACCGGCGTGGAGAATGTGTGTCAACTACACCGACCTCAACAAGGCGTGCCCAAAGGATTCGTTCCCTCTGCCCCGGATCGACCAGTTAGTCGACGACACGGCTGGTTGCGCCCTGCTCAACTTCATGGGCGCCTTTCGCGGCTATCATCAGATATTCATGCATGATTCGGACGAGGAAAAGACCGCCTTCATCACCCCGGGACGGGGTGTATTGTTACAAGGTAATGCCTTTCGGTCTCAAAAATGCTGGAGCCACCTACACTCGGATGGTGCCTGCTTGTTCAAAGGGCTGATGGGTGGATCTACGGCCGCCTACGTGGATGACATGCTTGTCAAAAGCAAAGAAGAGACGGACCATGTGAAAGACTTGACGGACTGCTTTGAGATCATGTGGAAGTTTAACATGAGGCTAAATCCCAAGAAGTGCGCGTTTGCGGTCCGCGGAGGAAAGTTTCTAGGATATATGGTTACCCGGCGAGTAATCGAACCGAACCCGGAGAAAGTGCGGACCATCCTGGATATGCAACCACCCAGCAGTCTCAAAGAAATGCAGCGATTGACAGGACGGATGGCTGCCCTCAGCCGATTCTTGTCTAAGTCCGCCGATAGAGCCTTCCCCTTCTTCGAAGTCATGAAGAGGCAGGAAGGGTTCCGGTGGACTGGAGAATGCCAGGCAGCCTTCGAGGACTTGAAGAAGTACCTCTTAGCTTCGCCCTCCTGTCGAAACCCAAGGCAGGAGAAACATTGTTGTTATACCTAGCTACCTCCCATAAGGTGGTCTGAGCTGTGCTAGTGCGGGAAGATGAAAAGGATCAATTTCCAGTCTACTATATTGGGTGGATTCTGAAGGGCGCATAGATCAATTATTCATCCCTTGAGAAATTAACTTTCGCCCTAGTTACAACGGTCAGGAAGTTGGTACCTTACTTTCAAGCTCATACAGTCCGGGTTCTGACTGACTTGCCCCTGGCCAGCGTGCTGCGCAGTCCGACCTCGTCCAGACGACTACTCAAGTGGGTGATGGAGCTCACCCAGTACGAGATCGAGTACGCCCCGCGACCATCCATCAAGGTTCAAGCCTCAGCTGACTTCAGAGTAGAATGCTCCGCTTACTCGGTCGAGGGCTCGTTGGTCGAAGGCCTAGAAGCAGCGGAATGGTGGGAAATACACATTGACGGTGCTGCCGGCTCCGAACACTGCGAGGGCGGGGTTATGATCACCACCCTAAAAGGATTCCGCCTATACTACGCCTTGAGGTACAATTTCCAAACTTCGAATAACGAGGCAGAGTATGGGGCGATCATCGGGGGGCTGCGTTTAGTCATCGCCCTCCATGCCGCCAGGGTGCGCATAAAGACGGATTCCCGCCTGGTGGTCAACCAGTTGAAGAACGAATACGTGACCAGGGAGGAGAGGCTAGTACTCTATAAGGATGTGGCCGAGGGGTTTCTAGATAAATTGGAAGCCTATGAGATTACCCACATCCCGCGAGCGGAATATACGGAGGCTGATATCCTATCTAAGTTGGCTTCGGTACACCTTCACACATGTCGATGACTTGTCGCACCGAGGTCGTAGAACGGCCGAGCACCGAAGTGCTCTCGGTTTGCACAGTTGTCCGGGTGTCCACTTCCCCGCCTGGCCGCGAGAACTCCTCCGATTGGCCATGGTTTGCGGACATGGTCAGATACAAACAGAAAGCAGAGTTGCCCAGCAAAAAGGAAGGTGCTGATCGCATTAGGAGTATGGCTCCCTCCTATGAGTTGGTAGACGGGTTGCTCTATAAACGATCCTATGGGGGGCCACTGTTGCTTTGCCTACCTTCCGAAGAGGCTAAGACCGTGATGACTGCCGCCCATCAAGGGATCTGCGAGGCCCACCAGGGGGCCAAAACTTTGGCCAAAAAGCTCATTATTCAAGGCTACTATTGGCCAACCATGGTAAAAGACTGCGTCGAAGAAGTGCTAAGATGCTCCGTGTGCCAAATGTTCGCTAGAAAGGGCACCTGAGAGCGACCTTCTATACACCGATCAACACCGCGATCCCATTCGCCATATGGGGCATCAACCTGCTCGGGCCACTCCCCTAGGCGCCCAGGCGAGTGCGCTTCTGTATAGCGGCCGTAGACTATTTCACTAAATGGGCAGAGGCAGAGCCCTTGGCGACTATCACCAAGTATCAATGCCGCCGTTTTGTTTGGAAAAACATCACATGCAGATTCGGGCTACCCGAGCAGCTGGTAACGGACAACGGACGGCCATTTGATAACCGAGCCTTCGCGGCCTTTTGTGTGCAAAACGGTATACAACACATTAAGGTATCCGTAGCCTAACCCCAGGCCAACGGACAGATCTAGAACCTGAACCGCACTCTCCTGGACAGGCTGCGAAAGAAGCTGGAAGAGTTGGGCGGCACATGGATCGAACAGTTGGAAAAGGTCTTATGGGCTTACCGAACAACTCCGTGGAGGGTTACGACTGAAACCCCCTTTGCCTTGGCATAGGGGTTCGAGGCGAAGGTCCCGACGAAACTCTTAGTGCCTAGCAGGCGAGTCCTGCTATACAATGATGAAGGCAACGAGGAAACCTTGCGGATTGAGAAGAATCTCTAGGAAGAAAGGCGAGATGTGGCTTATGCCCGGATGGTCGAATACCAGCAAGCTGTCACGCTATCAGGATAAAAGAGCCAAAACCATATACCTCCAAGTAGGGGATCTTGTGTTCAAAGAAAGGACGGCTAGTCGGCCCACCGAGGGGGGAAAATGGCGGCCAAGTGGGAATGACCATACCGGGTGGTGAGTGAAGTCTACCCGGGGACTTACCGGTTAGAAACCATGGAAGGAGAGCCCGTGTAGCGGACGTGGAATGCCCACAACCTTAAGAAATTCTACCAGTAACCGGACAGTTGCATTTGTTTCCCAGTCTTTATCCTTCGATTAGTTCGTTGTAAGCACCTAGCGGCCATTAGTTTCATGGGAATTTCCTTTCAATCGGTTGACAATAAAGTTCAAATTATTTCGGCAACGGGGTTATCCTTTGGCTTTGGTCACCTCCTCTCTACGAGGATGGCTAATACCGCCTGCTCAGGCGAAGGCGACCATGCCGCGAGGATGACCACCTCCTCTCTGTGAGGACGGCTGATACCACCTGCTCAAGCGAAGGCGGCCATACCTCGAGGATGATCACCTCTTCTCTACGAGGACGACTGATACCGCCTGCTCAGGAGAAGGCGGCCATGCCGCGAGGATGATCACCTCCTCTCTGCGAAGACGACTGATATCGTCTGCTCAGGTGAAGGCGGCCATGCCGCGAGGATGATCACCTCCTATCTGCGAGGACAACTGATACTGCCTGCTTAGGCAAAGGCGGCCATGCCGCGAGGATGATCACCTCCTCTCTATGAGGACGGCAGATGTCGCCTGCTCAGGCGAAGGAGGCAATGCCGTGAGGATGATCACCTCCTCTCTACGAGGACGGCTGATACCACCTGCTCAGGTGAAGGCAGCCATGCGGCGAGGACGATCACCTCCTCTCTACGAGGACGGCTGATACCGCCTGCTCTGGCGAAAGTGGTCATGCCGCGAGGATGATCACCTCTTCTCTACGAGAACGGCTGATACCGCCTGCTCAAGCGAAGGCGGCCATGCCGCGAGGATGGTCACCTCCTCTCTATGAGGACGACTGATACTGCCTGCTCAGGCAAAGGCGGCCATGCCGTGAGGATGATCACCTCCTCGCTACGAGGACAGCTGTTGGTCCCAAAAGAGGTAAGGTGAAAGTCTAGAGGGGGGGGGGGGGTGAATAGACTTTCAAACTTTTTAGCACAATATAACAATTGGTAAGCCAGAGATAAACCAAAACTCTTAACTAGATTGTTAGAGTATGGTGCGCAGCGGAAATTAATAAACGATTCGGTGTGTGTGTAGATCGTGTCAAGATTATTCTCGTGAGAAGCAAGCAAGAGCAGTAAGTAAAGAAAGCAGTAAAGAACACAAGGCAATTTATAGTGGTTCGCGAGGTGGTGTAATCCTCCTACTCCACTTGCTCTTTTCTCCAAGAGCCAATTCACTATATCCACCACTTCTTGGTTCCAAGATACAATGAATTCCGTGATCTAGTGCTTTGATCACCAAGCCCACACTAATCACGCCCAGTGACACCAACACTGCTGCTTCGGGTTTCACGTCGCCGCGTTACTTTCCCTGGATTTCACAACTCCGTGCTACTTTCCCCCCGTCTTCTACGATCCAGTAGAATGTATCTTCCGTGATCTAGTGCTTTGATCACAAAGCCCGCACTAATCACGCCCAATGTCCTCCGACACTGCTGCTTCGGATTTCACAACTCCGTGTGACAATCCAGGATTTCACAACTCCGTGTTACTTTCCTCCTTTCCCTTGTTTTGCTCCAAAACAAGTTTTGCCTTGATTCCAACTTTGAGACTCTGTAGATGATCTTCAATGGTGCGCTGAGTCTCTTGAAGTTGATGAAGATTTTAACACTCTTGGATATTTCTTTTCTAAGCTTTGTATCACTCTGAGTGTTTATCTCACAAAGAATATATCAATTTAAGCTCCTGAGATGGAAAGCTTTCTTTGAATTTTGTATGCTCTGTTTAGCTCTGTATTCTTGCTCTATTGCGTTCTTGCTTCTGCTTTCCACTGCTTCAATCTTCATCTATTTATAGCTGGTAATGAGAATATTTCCGTTGGAGAGAAACGTTCTCATTTTTGAATTTCTTCTTAGCTGTATAGCCTTTTGTCAGAAGATAAGATAACGTTGCAGATATGTCAGAGATTTCAAGTTGAGCTTGAGGTTTTAGCAAATATGGCGTCCCATGAATCTCCATCTGGTGTAGATCATGCCTCTTGGGATTTTTATCTTCAAAATATAAAGAAGCAACTTCTTCTCTTCAATTGACTTGGGAAATCTGTTCCCTTGTGAAACTTCATCCCTTACTAATTTGGGAAATGAAATCTCTATCCCTTTGATAGATTTGTCATCTCTTCAATTGACTTGGGAAATCTGTTCCCTTGTGAAACTTCAACCCTTACTAATTTGGGAAATGAAATCTCTATCCCTTTGATCCATCGCCTCATACTTTAACTGATGGAATTAAACTTGGCTTCTTTAAGATATATGGGATGTGAGATTTGAACCTGTGACCTTGCACATAATATTTCAAGCTTCTACCATCTCATCCGTACAACCTTTTAGTCATTTTCTTGTTTCACTTGGTGTACTCCTTTCTTTCCATAGATGCTTGATCTTCAAGATAGCTTCATGCAAACTTCAAGTCACGTTCTTTCTTCTTCGGGATTTCTTCTTGAATCTCATACGCATACATCTTCCTCTTTTGTTTGCCATTTTCTCTAGGCAAATTCTTGATTGTAGGCTTTATATCTTCTTCATCCATTTCCTCAACTAATGAATTTATTTTTCCCTTTCTTGGTCTAAGACTCGACTAGTCTAATAAAATTGGGGATCTACGAATTACAATATGGCATATCAAAATCTATTACAATTTATTCCTAACAATTTTCCCCCTTTTGATAATGCCATAACCTATACTCAAACATGGGCTTTAAGTCTTTGAAAAATATTTTCATTTTTGCTCAATTTTATTTTGACAAAGTCAAGATGAGTTTGACAAAAATAATTCTAGGGAAAAGGAAAACTTGTGAATTAATTTAGACAAGTCCTATACGCATCCTTGATTAATTTTTAATCAATTTTTATCTTTTCAAATTTTTGCATGCGTTTGACAATTCTTGTCCTTTTAATTCACGAACTAATACATGATAGCCAAAATAAATCAAAACAGACTTAGATCAGACCATGGGAAATATTTATTAATATTAGTCGATTAGAGGAAATATTATTGTAGCCACAATCATTCCAAAATAGATATTCAAAACATCATATTTTTGAGGAATTTATGCTTGATTACCTTCTGGGTTTCTTGACTCCCATATCAGCTTTCAATATATCCTTGATATGTTCTCTCATCTTGCAGATATCGTTCTTGAACTTCTCACAGTCAAATCTCTTAGTCACATTTCCAGCCATGTAGTGTCCAAAGGCCTCTTTAATATTGGTGCCCGGAAGAGCTCCGGCTTCCCACCAAATTATGCATTCTTCAAAGCTTCTTTGGAATCCCAAACTTTCACCATTATTGTTGGTATAATCTCTAAGCTCATACCACATTTTGGTTTGCTTCCTTTTCGCTTCTTCTTCTTTATTCTTGTCCGAAATCCATTGAGCTTGATAAGCTTTTGGCCATCTTTTCACCATACTCGGCACATTCTCGGATGTCCAAATTTTCTGTGGTGTTATGGTTCCTTTTGAGCATTCGAGCCATCCTCGAGTTTTAGCAACTTTAGATGAGCTTGATCCAAGACTCGGATTTGCAAATTGAGCGAAACCAACTTGGGATTGTTGACCACGTCCTCGGCTTCGGCCTTTCGTTGGTGCGGCGGTCAAAACTGGCTGTTGCGGTTGACTCCCAATGATGAATTCATGTTGTTGTAAAGCCAGATGATTGAGAATTTCTTCCCCCCTAATGGCATTATCAATCAAAAAGCCAAGGGATTTAGAATCTCGTTCTTGATTGGCTTTAACAATCTTAACTCCATCATGTGTTTTGAGAGAAACATCCTGCAAATCAGATATTTTGTTAGCCATAGAGGATAATTCTACCTCAAGGTGATTTATCCTTGTCTCCTGGTCTTGTATGGCTTTTATTTGTCTCATGTGTCTTTCATTGTTGATCTTCTCGGTAGCTTCTCGTTCCTTCTTCATCAGTTGGATTATCTCCAATAATCCTTCGGTGAGATCTCCTTTCAGATGTCTTTCGGCTCTGTCTATCTTTGTTTGCAGAGTGTTTTGATGTTCCAATAGCTCCTTCAAATTTGTTCGTGTGTCCTCAAAGTGTTGTAACGAGAGATGTCCTTGCTCGGTAAGAGTTGTTCCAATCTTTTGACACACAACATCACTTGATTCTATGACTT